AAAGCCAGGCTTAGGATACAGCTCAGGGACAGAGCACTTGCCTAGAATGCAGAGGCACCACAAGGGAAAAAAAAGCCCTTAACTTGGCCTATCTTTCCAACTGTGAAGGGTGTGGAAGACAGAAAGTTTAGATTTTGTTCTAACCATAAATGACAGGCCTTTGGAGGGGCAAGAGAAAAAGCAGGAAGATCAATAAGGAGAGTATCACACAGTCCAAGTAGGAGAGCTTAGCTTGATCCAGAGTAGTAGGGGTGGAAGTGTGAGAACAGCTAGATTCAGGATACATTTTGACATGCCAGCAAGACTTGCTGATGAGGTGCACGTGTCAATAGGAGAAAGAGAAGAATCACAGGCATTAGGGTTTGGGGCCTGAGGAACTTGGTGAATGGCGAGATCATTAGTTGGGAAGGACAGAGCAGCTTTGCAGAGGTGAGCACAGGGGAGACCCAGAATTCTGTCTGGACATGTTGTCTGAGGCACCCAGTGGAGATGCCCTGGTCATTAAAGACCCTATGGCAAAAGGCCCCAGGGCCAGGACTTGGATTTCTCTCAATCTGTCAGGACTCTTTCTCAATGGTTCTCAAAGAACTCTTTGGAAAGTCCTGGCCAGCCACACCAGCATACGCGGAGCCTGGAAGCATGGTTCACAGCCACCCCACCATCAATGGTTCTCAAAGCCGGCCAGCCTCTGTCAGCAACAGCTGCCACACCTGTGATCTTGTTAGAAACTCAACTTCTTGGGCCCACCCCAGACCTACTAAATCAGGAACTCCAGAAGCCAGGCCAGTACCTTATGTCTAAGTGAGCCCTCCAGGTGACTGGGTGGAGTTTGAGAACCACTGTTCGAAGTCATACTTCTCCTCATTAATACACATCTGACAGCCACAACTTCCTCACATCGGGCAGAATTCACCATGTCTTCACAAATCCCTCTGCCTAATTAACAGTGGAGGGTGGTGTTCCCTCTGCCTAGTGCTGACTGGGGTCTCTAGACATACCACAGATCAAAGTTTTCAATTACAGCAAGAGGAGAAAAGAAAAGTTGGAGCTACTATAGTAACTGCCATTCCCGTAGTAGCTGATATTATTGATTAGTTACGTCCTTATGCATTATTTCATTTCATTCTGATAGCCTTGTGGTGTAGATACTTTGTGCCCAGTTTACAGATGAGGAAGCTGAGACACTAAGAAGTTAATTAAGGGGGTGGGGGCAGGGGGGAGAAATGACCCAAGTGTTGTATGCACATATGAATAATAAAACAATAAAAAAAAAGAAGTTAATTAACTTCCACAGGGAAGGCTGGTGGTGTAGCTCAAGTGGTAGAGTTCCTTCCTAGCAAGCACAAAGTCCTGAGTTCAAGTCCCATTATCACAAAAAAAGAAAGAAAGAAAACAACCTTCATAGAGTCACACAGCTAGAAAGTGACAGAGGTGGGATATCATCCAGACATTAAGTTTCCAGAACCTGCATTCTTAACCACAATGGTACATATTGCTTATCTTCCTACATGTCACTACAATAGCCACTTAATGTATTTTTTAAATTTTTGATGGTACTGGAGTTTGAACTCAGGGCCTTGCAGTGCCACACCTCCAGCCCTTTTGGCTTTAGGTTTGCCCTGGACCAGCCTCTGACCCTCTGTGTCCTGCACAGCTGGGATGACAGAGGTGGACCACACCTGGCTTGTTTGGTTGAGTTGAGTTGGGATCTCCCTATCTTTTTGCCCAGCCAGGGCTCCTAATCTCTGCCTCCCTAGGAGCTGAGATTACAGACATAAGTCGTTGTGCCCTGCCCCACTTGATGTATGAGTACATGGGCTCTTATGAATAGCTGGGAGACGTTAAAAAGATGTTTAATTCCATCAAGTTACCGTGTACCAAACTTATAGAAAACATGGCCACACAAAACCTGTATTCAACAGAAGCATTATTCATAATAGACAAAACGTGAACACAACTCAGCCAGCCATCCGCTGAAGAACGGATGAGCAAAACGTGGTATCTCCTCTGGGGAAATATTATTCAGCCACGAAAGGGAACGGAGTATTCATATGTGGTACAACACGGACGAGCCTGAGACATTATCTTCTAGTGAAAGAATCCAGTCACAAAAGGCCTCATATCATGTCACTCCACTGATATGAAATGTCCAGAACAGGTAAACCCAAAAACAGAAAAACAGATTAGAAGTTGCCAGGCTCTAGAGGAAAGAGGTGATGGGAAGTGACTGCTAACCAGTGTGGGGTCTATTTTTTTTTGGGGGGGGAGGGGAGGGTGATAAAAACATTCTGAAATTAGTAGTGATGAGTGGACAACATCTATACTCTAGATGGACATACCAAATACCACTGGATTGTCACTTGAAAAGTGAGTTTTATCTCAACAGCATTGCTATTTTTAAAAGAGCGTTTTGTTCATTTTTGCATTTAGCCTGTTTTTAGTTCATGAAATTCCTATTTGTTGTCACTAAAGCTGCTAGATTATGATCAAAGAAATTGAAAGTAACTAACCTGCCATTGCTTTGAGTTTTTGCCTTTCAACTTGTAAAGAAGAGTAAAACAGTTTCACTTCTAGGCTGCCATGAACCTAGTACCAGTTCATTTGTCATTCCCTACCCGTGAGAAAGATTTTCTTCTCCCAGATGCAAAAATTCTATTTTCTTTTTCTTTGGTGGAACTGAGGGGATTTCAACTCAGGGCTCACACTTGCAAAGCAGGCGCTCTACCACTTGAGCCACACTTCCAGTCCATTTTGCTCTAGTTATTTTGGAGACAGGGGTCTTGGTTTCCAGGCTGGCCTTGAACCACAATCCTGATCTCAGCCTCCAAGTAGCTAGGATTACAGGCATGAGCCACCAGCACCAGGTCAAAAGTTCTATTCTTGAGAAATGCCTTAACATTTTCCTTAAACCAAAGCTCCTTTCTATCTAAAAGAACCTCAATTTTCTTCCATAACCAGGTGCTCCTGGGCTTTCCTGCTAAAAGCACACAGCTGAACAATATTCCTCTTCCATAAACAAGGTACTAAAAACTATTATGATCTGTGGCAATGTCTTAATAGTCAAGACAAATAACTAGTACTAGGGTGAGAATCTAAGAAACACTCTTTGAAATGTTCACTTGCTCTAATGATAAGAGTGATACTAATGATTACTATTTATTTACCAACAATAATGTGCTAAATAAACTCTGTCTTAGGTTCTTTAAAAACAGGGCGTATCATTTGGTCCTCACAGTAACCCTGAGGAAAGGATTTTTATTCCTCACTTCATAAATAAGGAAACTTGAGTCCTACAGAGATTAAGTCAATTATCCTCCCTTAGTCACACAGGTAAGAGAGCTCAAATAAGCCTTTCTGAACTCAAAAGTCCTTTCTTCTGTCTCTCTATAGGCTTCAAAATGAAAGAGAGGCTGGGGGCATGGCTAAAATAGTAGAGCACCTGCCTAGCAAGCACCAGGCCCTGAGTTCAAAATCCCAGTACCTTAAAAGAAAGGAAAAAAGGAGCCAGACACTGAAAAGACTCCTATCTCACAAAAGTGGTGCTTTTAAAAAGTTGAGAGTTTCTGTAATCTAGTACAAGAAATATAGAAAACAACAGTTAGTTAATACAACCAGCATTCAGAAGGCACAAAAGGCCACGCCAACTCCGGTTGTCTTTTTACTGCTTCCCGGTATTACAGTTTTCCCACTCATTATAAACCTAAGTATGTCAAAGTGTAATAATCCCTCTGTGGAAAACCCCAGAGAACAGCAGTTAGCACAACTGGAGAGCTCACTAGACCAGGAAGGAAAGGAAATCAGATGACAGGAAGTAGTGCTTATCTCAAAACAAAGAACATCTTTAGCGCTGATATTAATACTGTTAATTTCACACAGCACCATCTTTGTATTCCCTTGTATTATTTTAATATGTATTACTAAACCCTGACTTCACCCTATTCCCCTTATGTCTAATAGCATCTTAAATAAAACAGTTGCATAGCCCCTGCTGACCCTCATTTCTCTCCTGCTTGAGGGGGTTAAAAAAACAAAACAAAACAAGTCACAAGGTCAAAGGATTATTCCAGAAGGGAGATTTAAATCAATTAGAAAAGGTTGCATGGGGAGCATAACCAAACACATTCTATCACCAAGTTGTGTGTGGCTGGCAAAAATCTTCGTTCATGACTGACACACATGCTCCTTTTACTTTTCAGAACTCTTCCTAAAACAAATTGAAACTGCACACCAACTGGAGATTAATGTTAGACAATTGCTAAGTGTCAACACACACCACGGAGAGAAAAAAAAAAGTAGCTTAACAGATCTTAACAGATCTGCTTCCAACAAACATGAAGAATGAAAGGATTTAGTGCATTTGCACAAAAAAGCATTACTACGCAAGGGAAGAGGTCGGATAAATAAATCCTTAGTAAATGCCAGAGGAATGACCCCAATTCTGTGGTCACCCTATAATCGTTCCTAATGAGAAAAGGCCAACTCAGGTCAGGTTTCAGAATTCCTGTCACTTTTCCTGGCTCCAAGTTCCCACCAGAATTCTTTGGGGGTCCAGGAGAAAGACTCGTATTGCTGAACGGGGTGGGGGAGGCACCAAGGCAAGAGGACATCCTCACACAGGAACCACCTGTGCTGGATGCAGACCCCTGAGGAGTTCTGTCTGGAGTGGGACCAGTTCTGGGGGTGACCCTCGGTGCCCACGACCGACACGGGCTACACACCAACCCCACAGCCCTTACACCCGGGTTTTGGTCACCCCTCCCGAGCCCTCCGTCCCTAGACCCGGGTCTGCACCCCACACCCAGCCGTCCCCAAAGCTCCCTGTCCGCTCCTCTGCATGACAGCTGCCCAGCCGTCGCCAGGTAGCCCCAGCTTGCCCAGCCCCGGGTCCCCCAAAACAGTCTTCCGGTCTCGGTGGCGCCCCGGGCCCGTGAGATTTTTAGGATTAGGATCTGGAAGAGTTTGGTCCAATCCCCTCTTCCCTCCCAGCGTCCTGGGCTCACCTCCCCGGCAGCTTGGCGCTTCTCTTCCAAAACTGCTTGCTGTTGTCGGCGGCCATTGCTCTGGCCCCGGGGAAGGCCTGGTTGGTAGGCCGGCGGGGGCGGCGGTGCCCGGCGAGACGCCCCCAGGACCCCGTAATCTGAGGGCCGGCCCAGGCCGCTTCCCCGCCGCCGGTCACCCGCTCCCAGCTCCTGGGGGCGCCATCTTGGATGTGGGCACTCCCCCAGCCCCCCAAGCCTCCGCCCAGCGCCGTTGCCATTGGTGCTTTGCTCAGACCGTGGACGGGTGGGCCAATCAGGTGCCTGAATCCTGCAGGCCGCTGAAGCCCAACAGCGACGTCACAGGCTGGGCAGGCAGGTGGACTGGGAAGGCGGAGCTTAGATGAGCAGAAAGGCGGGACTGAAAGTTGTACGCATCCGAGGGAAGAAACAGGTAAAGAAAGAGACCTATAGGAAGAAGGAAAGGAGAGAGTTTTCTTTAAAGAGATGAGGTTCCTGACTCTAGTTTCTTGGAGAGACAGGACATAATATATATTTATATACATAGATACTTGGACCTAAAAGTAAGGGCCCATGCGATGGTCGTGCACCATTTTCAACATCTTCCGAGTCATGACACTCCATTACGCTCCCCTACCTTTAAGATTCATTAAGAACCCAATTATTTTGTTTTTTGAAGGAAGATTGGTATGGTCCCCATTGCCCAGAGTTGGTAACTGTTCAACAGGCGAGTGACAGTTGTCATCTGAATCGTGTCGTTCTGTTAACTGAAAGGATTTGGGCAGTGGGTGAATTTCAAGTGATGTAATTTCTGTTTCAGTCTTACTTCCTGACTGTGAGAACCCCGATGCTGACAGATAGTGCTTAGGAGACGTTCTTATGTTATCCATGTCATTTCTTTTGGGGACAGAATATCTCCAGCGCACCAATCACCGAGACTAAGGGTGCTATCCACCATGCGTTCTTAGTTTTCCTTACTATTCTGTTATAAATCACTCACTTTTGATTGATTTTCAATCTAATTTCGACTTAGAATGAGACCTGATAATAGCATTTTGAATTGTCTGAATGTCTTGTTAGTGGTTCTTGTTCTTCTTGGTTTCTGTGGGTTGTATTCCAGATGATTTGGTGAGGGGAAGGACAGTACTCACAAGTGCAGAGTCGTTTTACTCCCAGCAAAAGACTGAGGGAGGCTGGTTGTCTCCCACCCCCACCCCACTTAGTGCTATCTCATGTCTTTCTACATATTAGAAAATACTTAAGGAACCCCCCCCCAATCTAAGAAAGGACCTTCTTTTATATGCCTTTCGATGGCAACTTTACATAGACATTACCTCCATTTTCAAGATTCTTTTGTCCTCTAATTTCAAAATTATACGATTATATGAAAAGGGCTATTCGTATTCTCTCTGAATCTTTCATGCTTTTTTACACTTTCATCTTTTCATCTTATAGGCATTTAACTCATCAAACCAAAGCCTTGTACCCTTTTAATCATCTTACCTATCTTTCTCTTCTTTTACTTAGGATGCAGTGACAGCAAGCATATATGAGCCCTAACAGGGGTGTCATGAGATCTTGTTAAACCTGATGTTTTTGTCTTTATTCTAGGTAGCCAGAACTTTTGCTGGCCCTTCAACTTTAGAGGAGCTGATGTCTGGAAGGAATAATTTCTAGATCCCTTTCCTTGGTGGCAGCTGGCAGTTCGGAGTTCATTGTCATAAAGCTATCATATGGATTGTCCTTCCCTATGTGAGCAAGACACCTGCCACTTTCCATCTTACTCACATAGCTTTAGAAGTGTTCCAGAAGATTTTCCCTGTTGACTTGACATTTCACTACCTGGAAAGGAAAGTATGATTTGTGTGCCGAGAAATGTCTCAAAGTATTCCTTTTTAAGAATCATTTACGAAATGTTAAATAACATTGATTCCTAAGGGATTTATTTAATATTACTAATACAGAGAAACCCTATTATTCCTATTCTTTATTTTCTATGTTCAAACCAGTTTTCCATCCAAGATTAAAATTAGGAAAAAACCACCTCCAGTCACCTGGTGAAGACTTTTAAAATAAAATTTGACTGAGAGGTCAAGATTGTTGAAGCATTTCTCACCACTACCACCACGACCCTAACCTCAGCCAACCACACCCTTGCAGCAGATTTGATTAGGCCTCCCTGCTTGCACTCTTACCCCTTAGGGTAGATTTCCTGCACTGCAGCCAACAAGAACCTTTTAAAGTGTAGGTCATATCATGTCACTCCTTCACTCAAAACCTTGCAACGGCTTGCATTACATGGCATAAAAGTCAACTGTCTTCAATATCCAACATACTTTGCTTCCCTTCACCTCCCCAGTCTCATCTCCATCCACATTCTTTGGTCTTTTTGCTGCTCCTTGAACACTCTAAGTCTGTTCTTACTTCAAGGCTCTGGCATTACCAGTGCCTCTGCTTGGAATTCTCTTCCTCCAAAAAGTCTAGATGACGTGCTTCCTCATTTTCCCCATGGAGAGGCCCATCCTAACCACCCATTTCAAATAGTGGGCTCTGCCACTTTTTATTTATTTATTTATTTATTTTGGCAGTGCTAGGAGTTGAACTCAGGGCCTCATATTTGCTATACAGGTGCTCTGCCATCGGAGCCATTCCATCAGCCCTTCTTGCTCTGGTTAGTTTGGAGATAGGGTCTTGCTTTTTGCCCAGGTCAGCCTGGACCTCAGTCCTCCGATTTGTGCTTCCTGGCATAGCTGGGATGGCAGGTAGGCAGCCATTGATTAAGATGGGGTCTTTCATCATTTCTTGGCCTTTTGGCTAAGATCAAGTGTAGTATCTGTTCTTACCAGTTTAATATCTGGTACATCCTCTATTTGAGGACAATATATTAAATGGACTTTTGGAACAGGGAGATGGAATAGGAGCTTGCTCAGTCCACATTGACCTGGTAATTGTAGTACCTCCAAGAACAGTGCACTCCTTTGGGGGAATCTGAAAAAAAAGGTCTTTCAAACTTTTCACCCTGACTGTCCTCAAACCTTCATTCTCCCAATTTCGGCCTCCCAAGTAGCTAGGATTACAAGTTTAAGTTACTCTGTCTTTCTTTAAAGCACTGTCACACATGCCATATTATGTATTTATTTCCTGTCCATCTCTAACTCTGATAATGTAAACTCCACTAAGGCACTGTGTCTGCTTTGTTCCCTGTTGTACCCCCATAACCTAAAATACAGTGTGGTATATAGAAGGTGCTTACTAAATAGTTACTGAGGGAATGAAGAATACAAACAATTCTGTCTCTTGGTTCGATGTTGCTCATACACATTTTCTTGTTTGAAAAGATTGTTTTCTTACTCCTCACAGGGTATGTCCACTTTACCAGAGATTTGGTAAACTTACCTATACTCTTTTTTTTTTTTTTGGCAGTACTGGGGTTTGAACTCAGGGCCTTGCACTTACTAGGCAGACACTCTACCATGTGAGCCAAGCCACCAGCCCCTTGCCTATAATTTTGGTTGAAGAATAGTCTTTGTCTCTTGAAAAAGAGTACCTTTCTAGGTGCTGGTGGCTCATGCCTATAATCCTAGCTACTTGGGAGGCTGAGATCAGGAGGATCACAATTTGAGGCCAGAGCAAAATGAACTAGAGGTATGGTTCAAGTGGTAGAGCACCTGCTTTGTAAGTATGAAGCCCTGAGTTCAGACCCCAGGATCACCAAAAACCAAAAAAAGAGAAAGAATACCTTCTTCAAACCCTCTTGCAGCTTCAATGGAGTGTGCCTGTACCAGAATGAGGAGGGAAGGAGACCACCTGCCTAGCTCCCTCAGTCATTTACCTCCGTCCATCAAAGTGCTGATAGCTATGGCAGCCAGACCATCAATACACCCTTCCACTTTGATGAAACCTCATTGCTTTGAGGTTGCCAAGGGGTCTGTGGAGCCCTCCAGATGGAGACCCTGCATGGCAGGCGCTTACTGGTCCACTAAAGCACTGTTTCTTACACTTTATCATGCATGCAAAGCACTGAGGTCATGTTAAAACCTACATTCTGGACAGGGGTTGTAGCTCAAGAGTGTTTGTCTAGCAAGGCCCTGAGTTCAATCTCCCAACTGAAAGAAAAAAAACACTGCAGATTCTAGATTTAGTAGGTCTGAGATGGTACCCAAAACTTTGCGTTTCTAGCAAGCTCCTAGGTAACACTGGCCCTGCTGATCTGTGACCTCACTTTGTGGATATTCAATTACTAGCATAGTGTGGCCTATGATTGTTGGATTTAGCTGAAGAAGTTGCGTTTTTTCTTGAAACTATAAGTAGGGGACTCTCCACATTGTCTTCATGCAAGGCTTTCCTCCTTGATTTCACCCTCACTCAAAAAGGAGTAAAACAGCTTAGAATGGGACAAAGTAGAATCAAAGGAATGAGAGGTGCAGAGGTTGAATATGGCTGAAAAGAGGTAGGCACATCTCAATCCTTTGAGAAAGTTCTATGAAAGTGATAAGGAGGGAGGAAAGAAAAGAGAAAGAGCTGAAAAAGAATAGGGAGGTCATTTTACAGCAGGAGCTACAGTGAAAAGTAAAAATAGAGAAAAAAAACCTTTGGACTTCCAGAGAGATCCCTGAGACTTTAACCTCAAAGAAGGAGCTGAGTGGGAGAAGGAAGACACTGTGACAGAGGAAGAGTTAAGATGTTAGAAAGAGGAGCAGAATGTTGGGCCACCTGAGAGATGGTGATCAAGCTGGGATTTAAGAGCAAGAGAGCTTTCTGATACCTAAACACCACTGGGAAGTGCAAATGAGAGAGAGCAGTGTGTTAAAGGAGGCACAGGAAGTACACCAAGAAGCAAGTTTACTGGAGTAAAGAGAGAAAGAGCAAGCCATTAGCGTTTAGGGAGGAAGGGGGATTAGGTATTTACTTCCTAGGAATTTATTCTAAGAAAGTAAGTCAAAAGGAGTAAGTGAGGGACTCTGCAAACAAAGATGTTCTTTGCCTAGGAACCAAAAAAAAAATAAATAAATAAGAGGAGTTGTGCATGATGGTCACACCTGTAATCCCAGCACCCCGTAGGCTAAGACAGGAGGATTTTGAGTTCCAGGGCAGCCTGATCTACCTAACAAAATGCCATCTCAAAAAAAAAAAAAAGGAAAGAAAGAAAGAAGGAAGAAAAGAAAAAAAGAGTCAGG